AGAACAGATTGTGTCTGGTGAAATTCAATCTGAGAAAGATTTTGTTTTTTATGACCTCTATTTGCAAAAAGTAACTCACACTCCGAACATTAAGTCTTGGCCTGGAAATGGTTTATTGTATTTACTAGGACATGATCCATAAAATTTTTTTGGAAACAACATTTAGTAGTTTATAATATCAAAAGACACCATAGCTTTACTGCAGATGAAACTAATACAAAATCATGTAGTTGTCAAGATGTTGCTTTGAAATCAACACATAAGTGAGAAGTTTGATCTCACTCTAATTTACAGCTTAAAATGTTCAAGGTTTTTAGCCAGGCCTAAATTGCAGCTATGCATCCAGCATCTTTGGACAGGCTTCAGTTACACGATATCAAAACACAACCAAACACATGCGTGTTACTGGCAGAGCAACAGAGAGCTGCAGAGATTCTGCAATGGACTTGAGCTGGTCGGATCAATACCTCCCTTCTTGCTGGAGGAGATGCGATTAGCTTAACATGCGGAAACTCTTCCACACTGTCTCTGTTCCACCAACACAAGAAAATATTCACAGACACTTACTGTAAGCAGACACAGCACATTTCTGTAAACAAACACCTGGATGCTGACAGACACACACACACACAACATCCCACTTACACCCTAGAGAAGATCGAGCATTTCAGCTGTGCTCCACGTAGCAGTCAGTGAAAGTCGTAGTGACTCAGCAGTCAGACAGCAGTGAGGGAGAGACAGCGACATCACTCAAGTGACGGTGGGGACATCGGACAACAGAGCAAAGTAATAAAATCATTCCGTTAAAGTAAAGGTGACAGTGATAATCTATGCTGTCTGTCTTTGTGATCATTGTCTATCAGCCTTGGAATTACCTGCCACAAATCCCTTTATGATGCCTGTTTTCTAAGATTTATTATTTACCTCTGGACCTAAATGAAAAACACGTGCGCTCCCTTTAATGTCATTGTGCATTTTGTTTTTCCTCTCTTCCTTTATTTAGCTCTCTTCCCCTTTCTCTATCTCCTATTCCTTTCATGAGTGCCTTCATAATGAGGTCAGAGCATTAGTCCATTACTGGGTCACTTTTAACTGCTTTTCTAACCCCTTACTAGAGCAAACACACTGCTCTTTACACTGTATCTATAATTTAAAAATAGAAGGACTCTTTTTTTTTCATTACACTTCTCAACATTTTTCTCCCCTGAGAGGAAATTCATTAAATGATATTTATTGTGTTTTAATGCACACTTATGGCTGAGTGCTCAGAGTGCAACTGCTTTTTGTCCACATGGCAACTTGTCTGGAGGTTTCAGTCTTCTTGTATCCACACAAACAATGCACACACACACACACACACACACATTCAGCTTTATATATTGTTTTAAAGGGAACCTAATTGAAAAAAAAACGACGACATGTTGAGGGGGTAGTAGTAAGTGAGATTCGTGATGTGTTGAGGACATGAGGTCATATATCATACTTTGTGCAGCAGGCGACAGAAGTTGCCATTATTGGATCAGCACTGCTTCATTAAACCTCCACACGCCGTTGGACAGAGAGATGAAGGGAGGGGGAAGGAGAGAGAGAGAGAGACTTGAGAAGGAAAAGTGAGGACAAGGCAATAGAAGGAGGCTTATCACTGAGTGAAGGAAGGGAGAGAGGTAAAATAGTTTTATTAAAAGACGGGGGGGGGG